TTAGAAACTATATGAAGTTAGGTATTATGATTCATTTATTTTTGTAGTCCTCTGCAGAAACCAACATGGTAATAAGAGTTCATCAAATATGGTAAGAATAGTAATAATGTTTATAATCATTTCATTTTGATTTTCAGAAATGCTACTTAGCAAGATGCCAGCAGGCACCACTCTCAACTCTTAACAATATATGAATTCATTGCTGAGTATTATGTCCAAAATCTCTTAGCTAAAACTTTCTAGACCAGGTTTGACTCAAAATTCAGAATCATATGTAGTTTAGAAAGATAAAATACAGCAATACTTCATAAATAAACATTTATGCAACAATATATACGAATATTCACACAGAACACAAAATCTCTATGTGTGTTTGCATCAAGCTTTGCTGTCAAATGAATGCAAGTTAGGTATTGTTGACAAGTAACTAAAAAAACTTGTTTTCAGGGCTTTCTGGATATTGAGATTTCAAGTGAGTACTGCCGATCTTTGTCTGTTCTTGGCTGCATCTAGCCAGGCTCTTTTCCTTCATTCATGATGCAGGGTGACCTCGAATTTTTCTCCCCAATTTTCTACCATAAGGTTCATTCTATGTTAGTCTATTTCAATGTTCTAGAGTATCTGAAGAACAAAAGTGCTGTATTTGGCCCCTAGACACCGGTGGGGGTGAAGGCAGCTTACCTTCCCCCCCTTCTACTGCTTAAGTAGAAGCAGTATGGAGGAAAGTTGGGCACCAGGTTGATGTGTAATCATGGCCTCCTCAGTAAATACAGTTGTCCCTCAGTATCCATGGAATATTGGTTTCAGAACCCCCTGCAGATACCCAAACTCAAGGATGCTCAAGCCCCTTATATAAAATGGCATAGTATTTGCATACAATCTATGCACATCTAGGTTATCTACAATGTTTAATACAGTGTAAATACTTTATCAATACTCATTATACCATATTATATTAGTGAATAATAAGAAAAGTAGCCTATACATGCTCAGTACACACACAATTTTTTTAAATGTTCAAGACTTTCTAGTTGTCCAGGCACTGCATAAACTAATTACTTACCACTTCAGTTAGTTATGCACATGTTTATTGATAAAATTTCCCTCTTTCTTATTACACTATAAATTCCACCGTCAGGATTGTCCCATTCTATTGCTCTCTTATCAGCACCTAGTATAGTGCCTCCACATAGCAGGTGCTCAACAAATTAATTCATGAACTAATGTAATTAAGGCAATTTATGAGTAATGAAAACCTGTATAAAATAATATAGATAATATTACAATACAATTAAGTCCAACAATGCCTACTTACCCTAATGACTTATAATAATACATTACAACTCTGTTATAACATGTGTTCAACCATATTACATCAAATTTATTCATCACAAATGCTGTTGTGGAGTAAAATCAAGAAAAAGAGCATGTCAGTATCCGTTTATTATTTTGTTCACTTAGCCTAGTTGTTGCTAGCACTCGACTAGTCTCAGTGCAAAGAAAAGCCAATGAGGATTAGTCTTTTTTCGTAACACCGGATAACTTGCTTGAATTTGTAGGACTGGCAGGTCACTATTATTTCATCTCTTTGAAAGACAATTCCTCACCAATTCCTGGTTCACTTCAATCCAACAAGTCTAGATAAAGCAATACAATGAACTATTCAACCATTTTTTGAGCTATTCACTTTTTTGTTGTCTCAAATGTTTCACTTAGGTTAAGAGACGTCATCGCTCCCCACCCCTGTATCCTATTTCTTGAGTGGTATCTTTTTTTCTTTCCACCTATTCCATCTTCTGTCTCATTTCAGTTCTCCAGGCTGACTTCACAGGCTTTATCCTTTTGCACTACTAACTTGGAGGAGAGGGGGGAAACTGGTTCTTGAGCCTTGACTATGTCATGTCATTTTCATCCTAAATGTGAAGTGGATATAATTCATTCATTTGTATCACATCCTGCTCATCCCACCTGGTCTTATGTTCTCCTTTTTAAGATTTCCTTTTACCTTTCTAAGACAAGTCATCACCTGGTTCATGTTTTCTCTTCCACCCCTCTATTTCTCTTTGGCCATATTTCCTAACATGAGAAAGGATGTACAGTGGTCTACAGCAGTGTTTCTGGAGTCACAGCTGGTGGGGTTAAATACTGATGCCACCACTTCCTTAACTGTGATTAAAGCAGCTGAATGCAGGTCCCTAGTTTCCTCATTTGTAAAATGTGATAATAAGAATACCCACATTATCAGGAATAAGTTGACACCTGTAAAACACTAGTCACTGTCATACAGAAAGCACTTTATAATTTTACCACTTCACCACTACCCTTGGTAATGTTAGTATCTATATTGTTGCCTACTGATTTTCAACTTCTGGCCATACTGGCATCCATATGTAGCTCTACTTTGGACTAGCTCATTGCCCATCACATATCACTGCTTTACATTAGGACTTCAAACCTGGTATTTATGTCTAACTGTGATAGTTCTTCTATTAATCTTTCTCATTCCTGCAAACTCTCACACTTAAAAATCTCTCCTCAATCCTCAGACTTTTATTTATTTTTTTATAAACCAGGGGAGGTTCATATCTTCCATGAAGTCTTCCTCTATCATTCCAACCCACAACTACCTTTCCTCTGCCCAAACTCACAGACCTTACCAATCCCTTCCATGTTACAGAATTATTAAGACATTTAGTGAGAGCCTTTGCCTAAATGTTTAACATCCATAGATGTTATTATACTATAACACCATAATAAACTCCTTATATATAAAAACACCACTAATAGAGATGCTCACAATTATGGCCAGCATTCTTTCAAATACTCTATGTGTATTAACTCAATCATTATAGCAACCCTAAGAAGTACCTATGGTTGTTATCTTCAATTTAGATCTAAGCAAGAGAAAGGCAAAATCAGGGAAAGAATATCTTTGGCATAAATCAAAATATAACAGGTATACAATAATCGCTGAATGAATGAATTTACTCATAGTTTTATTACTTTGCTCTAGTTTCAGGAATGGCTTGTCAATCTCTATCTTAAGTTTCTCTTTGTAAATATAGTTGAATAGGGTGCTTCATCTGTACTTTTCAAGACTAAAACAATAGGACAGTGCCAACTGGAGGGGTTCAACAATTGCTTTCCAAGTATCAGTTGGGAAAACATCTTTTCTGGTTTTGGATGCTATGATGATCATAATGATGTGAAAGCACTTGTATTTCACAGGCATGATGCTCTTCCTTTCATATATGTACTTTATGAAGTAACAGAATTAAACAGCCATTTACCATATACATATTTCTTCATACCATCTCCAATTTATGAGCATTGCAATTTAAAAGCAGCTAACTTAGGTTTTTGTTTATTTTTGTTATACATTTTCCTTTTTTCTAGTTTTCCTTTTTTAAATTCTATTTTACTTTTTAAATAAACATTTGCTAACCTAGGTTTAGTAACAGTTACTAGCTAGTCCTGTGATCCTGAGAAACTCAAACTTATGCTTTTGGGACTTGCTTACCTATAAGAAAAACCAAACAAACAAACAAAAAAGGAATCTGGGTCAGAATAAATTTGTCTTTTGGAGAGTCCAAAGGTTTCATTCACTTGTAAGATTATAATATTCTGACAAACTGTAAGAGTAGAAGAAATAATAAGGCAGAGAAAATGTTCAAAAAGCCAGCGTCAAAGAAAGATAGGGATGATAGCTCCAATTACCCACAGAAAACTGACTCTTCCACACAAAGAAGCTCCTTCTGCAACTATGACTAAATGATGTAGAGGAAAAGTAAAGGCCATGCTCAGTCACCACCCTTTTAAAAGTGTCCTCTTTTAACAGGGCCTCAATTATTTTAGAATGCAATTAAAACCCCTTGCAGCTGAAGATTTTCATACTCAGTTATATACATTCATGTTTTGTGAACAAGAAATCACATTCTAAAATATAAAAAGCATTTTTTAAACGAAGAAGTCCATTCAAAGACCCCTGAAAGTGACAATTTGCATCCTTTCCTTCCCTGCTTATAATCAGAGGCCTCTTGGGACCAGAAAACTCAGAAGCAGTAACTAGAAAAGCCCACATTCAGTTCTTTGGTTCCTTGCTGAGGTGTGATCTCAGCACTCCAGTGGGAACCCTGAACTCCATTCAGCTTGTTACAAAATACACTTTTTGCAAGTACTAAAATGTGAAATGCTCTTTAAATGTATTTTTATCTTCCAATATAAATGTGTTGTTTAGTTTCATGTAGGTAGGAAGAGAAATTTAAAAATATTTTCTGTAAAAGTTGAAATACACTATGCAAATCAATCCAAAATGATTAAATAGGTATTATAAAGATTTGAAAAACATGAAAGTTGTACTTAAAGCAAAATTCCACCCTCTGTACATTTACAAAAATACATTTCACAAGAGAAAATAAAAATGTGTTTAAAATTACCATTACATATGTATTACATAAATGTGTGTGTAAGGAAAAGGTAAAATCAGGTAGAAAATTTTAACTATCATATTTGATATGTGTGTTATAGAAATGTACACATATCTGTGCATTATCCATTTGAAATTATCATACATGTATTATATATTTATATATACACACATACATATCATGTACATATGTAATTTTAACTACTTCTGCCATTTTTCCTATGGTCATAATTTTAAAGTGCTATACATATATAATAGACATAAAAATAGGAGTAGAACAAAGTGAAAGTTAATAAAAAAAAATAGTAGCACTGTCCTCAGGGTTATCGCTTGTGTCCAACAGTGAGAGTGTTTGTTAAAGAATATACAAATATAATAAATATATATATAAATCCAGCCACATTTCCTTTTGAGTTCTACAATTATATCATCATGCAAACATCATCATGCTTTTTTAAGTTATGTAGAAATATCAATGTTTCCTAGAAGAAGCAAAGGATAATATCTATAAAATGTTGAATAGTTTCCATTTACAAGCAAACCAATAATCAGGAATGAGGGAAAATGGGCCTACCTTCCATTGCCCTTTTAAAGAAGACCTTACAGCTCCCACAGGTGAGGACACCATAATGACAGCCTGATGCTTCATCCCCACAGATCAAACAAATCTTCTGAGGTAGTGACTCGAAGCTGTACTGTGGGCTCTGACTGGCTTCTGAATCCGGCCTTGAAATGCAAAACAAAGTAGTCACTTTACCATCAGGTGCACTATTATCTTATAATAAAGGCTTCTTACATCAGCTGCACAGAGTAAATGCTGTATGTATTCACACTTGAAGAACATGCAGACGAAGCTGAGTGTAACAGACTACTGGCAAGTGGATTCCTCACACCTGCCAATTATTAGCCATTCCTCAGTAGCACTGACATAAAATAGTGTGCCATCTGATGTCCAAGAAAGCTATCAGTCTATTGGTTAAAAAAAAAAAATCTTTCTACAAAACTCCTTATATAGAAGCAGTTTACTCTCTGACAAAGGAAGTGCTATACCCTTCCTGTAGGCTGAGTGACAACAAACACGGGTCCCCTTTAGGGGCTTGTGGGCTAGCCAGGCTTTTGCACTGAGTTTTGAGAACTTACCCTGTAAGGATAGTTCACACAAGTAAAAGCATTTAAAGTACTGCTCAGCACACCGACAATGCTTTGTCTGTTCACCTCACATAAGACTACATAGTATTGATTCCATTTCTCCTGTATGTAAATTAAAATGTTTTTGAAAATAAATGAAGAAAGTGGTAGAGCATCCGAAACAATATGAGCATGCGGAGTACTGCAGGAATTGATGTATAAACCCACAATTTAAAGGTGCCACACCTAATTTTAACTTCAACCTAAGATTCATTCTGCAAACTAAACCGTTAACATGCCCAAATCCCTACGGAGGTTCTGGGGGACCACCCTTCCGAAGTCCCACCACCCCCAGGAGAGCGGTGCCTTAGCTCCTCTTCCAGACAGTCACGGTCAGTGTGTTTCTTCTAAGAAAAGAAGCATTTCATAAAACTTCCCACTCCTCCCACCACACCCTTTCCGCTCCGCGGGACGACAGCGGGCCTGCTGTGACGCTGCACATTTCAAAACAGGGTCGCACCTGCTTCAGAATCTCGATGACTGGGAGTTTTTTTGTTTTTGTTTTTGTTTTTGTTTTTTTTTTTTAAACAAGGGCTTCTGAGGAGGCATAGTCTACGTCCCTTTCATGTCTCCAAGAGTGAGGAAAGGAGGGCAGAAGGAGTGAGACAAATGGCCCCGGTGCCCGAGTCTGGGCAGCGTGGCCCGTCCGGGCAGCCCACCCCCCCAGGGCCCCCTTCGCGGAGCGGCCCCGGCCGGAGCCCGCCCTACAGCTGCTCCGCAGACGCGCCCCGGGCCGGCCCCAGCCCTCACCTCAGGTAGTTGAGATAGGGCGTGTAGACCTGCGGCAGGCCCTCCTTGAGCACGGCGGCCTGGTAGCCGAGTTGCGGGAGTCCGTTGAGGCCGAGCGTCGGGTAGAGCGCAGGGGCGGCCCCGGCGGCTGCGCCCGAGGCGGAGGTGGAGGGCAGGCCGTCCCGCGGGAGCAGGCAGGCGCCGGCGCCCGGAGGCTTGCAGGGCAGCGGCGCGAAGGGGCCCTGCTGGGGCGGCGCGCCTTCTGCCTTGTACAGGATGCACTCCAGGGTCGACCCCGACGAGGACGAGGAGGAGACGGAGGCACTGCCTGGGGAGGCCGCCACCGCCGCTTCCCCGGGTCTGGACGAGGGCACTCGAGGCGGCAGCGAGGGTGGCGGCGGCGCTGCCAGCTGGAAGTCCGGGAAGGCGGCGGGGTTTGCACCAGCCACCAGGTACGTACGCGGGGAGCGCGCCGCGGCCTCGGCGGCTTCTTCCTCCTCCTTTATCTTGAGGGCGGGCGGCTGGAAGTCGCCGTAGAGGGGGAACGCGTCATCTTTGGGCTCGGCGTCGGGCGGGTAGGTGCAGTCGGGGAAGTCGCCGCCCGCCACAGGGGTGGACGAGGCAGAGGGGGAGCCCCGCTGCGGGACGAAGGGGCTGGCGGCCGCGGCCCCGCCGTCGTAGCTCTCCCCCTCCAGCAGCTGCCTGGTGCGGGTGGCCAGGAAAGCGTGGTTGAGAGGCAGGATGGGCACGTGGATGAAATCCACCACCGAGGTGGCCAGCGGGGAGCGCCCAGGCGCCACCGGCGCGTCCTGCTCCGCCAAGGAGACCCTGGGCGCCGAGAAGCGAGAATCTTCCTTGGGGACAAGGGCGACGCCTCCTGCGGCCGCTCCAGACGCGACGGGGGCAGCTCCTCCTCCGGCCGCCGTGCCTCCCAGTGCCCGAGGTTGGCCCTTCAGGAGCGGGCCCACGGTGCCCTCGGATTCGGAGCTGTCCTCCTCGTCTACCTGCACCGCAGCGGGCTGCGGGGATGGCTTCACTGCCGGCCAGTGAGGGCTCCCAGAGGAGGGGAGCAGCAGCTGCCTGGATGGTGACAGTCCCCTGGGCAGCACCTTGTGGGCCGCTGCCGTCCCAGAGCTGTCGCCTGCCTTGTCCTCGGGTCGGCTCATGAGCGGGGCCAACACCCCTTTGGTAGCGGGGGCAGCCCGGGGGTCTTCGGGAAGGTCGGGGCCAAACAGGCACCACGGGCTGATGGCCTCGCAGGTGGCAGGGCTGGCGTGGCTCTGCCCGGGACCCGAGGGCGCCAGGAGCGTGTCGAGGACACTGTCCAGCAGGCCGCTGTCCTTTTCTGGAGGTCTCGAGCTGCTGTCTCCTGCCCCCTCCGGGGCTTCGACTCCAGGAAATGCGCCCTCCACGTCTGACAACGACGGTGGGTCCTGCGTCTTCCCGTCTGGGGGGTTCTGCCCCTGACAGGGCCGGGGGAAGAGCAACCCGTCCAGGGAGATGGGGATGGCGGAGACTACAGACGAGGCCTCTGAGGTCTGGCTCCCCTGGAAGGGGCCAGGGTCCGGGCGACCCAGGAGCTGGGATCCGACCTCGGTGGGGGAGGGCGCGCCGCCCGCCACGTGGGGAGCCCGAGGTTCCTTTGCCTTCAGCTCAGTCATGTCGACCTGAACTCCCCTTTTCTCCTCCCCCGTCTCTCGGGAGGAGGGAAAGGGCTAGGAGGAGGGGGTGCCGGGATATAGGGGCAGAGGGAGGAGAAAATGGGTGTGGGGTTTGGCTGGACCCGCGGGATCTCCACCTCCTGGGTCGGGAGGGGGCGGTGCCGGTCAGCTCTGGCCCTCGCCCTGCATCCTGTGGTCAGGGGCAGGGCTGCGGTCGCTCAGTCCCTGCGGCAAGTGGGAAGAGCAGGGAAAGGTAGTTGCAGGGCTCTCGTCTCCGATTTGGAAGTCCTCTGGCTTCTGTCCGAGCGCGGGCGACGCGGAGTACTCACAAGTCCCGCCCCGGAGTGGCTGCGGCAGCGCTTGCAGTTCAGTTAACGCGCCCGACTTCTCCCCAGGCTTCAAACCCGTGCACGCTGCGAAGCTCCGAGCCCCTGACTGCGTTCCGCTGCCCCTCTCTCTAGCACTCTGCGGCTAGCTGACCCTCTCGGTACAGCCCATTCCCAGGAATGGGCTTCTGCCGGCCCCCTACAGCGGGCCACACTGGTCTCCGCTGCTCTCTCGGTTCCCCGCGTTCCGGGAGGAAGAGCCGCCTCTGGTGCCAAGTCTCAGATGACAGGTGAAGCTCGTTCTCATTGAGAAGGCTCCCCACACACCAGAATCCTCACACACGCAAGTGCTACAAAGCTTAACCCGAGTAGTGACAGCGTGGACTGGCCCCATGGCTTTCTAACAAACGCCTCCTCCCTCTAGAGAGGCCCGCCCAAAGCCCCTCCCTATCCCAATTACGGACCAGAGCTGAAACTCTAGAGTTGATTTTCCCACCCACTCGTCTGAAATCAACTCCCAATAGCAGGTGCTTTGGGATGCAGCCCCGTAAGCATATGAGGTTTTGTATTAGTAGTTAAGAAGCATACCCAATTAATTGGAAATGCGAATAGATTCTGTCAGAAGCACCGTTTTTGCACCGTTTTCAGGATTCTGGTTTTATAGAGATTGTACAGAGAGAGACCTCTGGCAACATTGTCTTTTAGAATACATGCATCAGAGATGATCCTAAATCATCTTTAAGAGAGTCTCTCCCTTATGAGTCCCATGAAAGTGAGTGCTTTCAAATTTCTCTCACTCCAATCGACATGACCTGCTTCACTTAAGCAGTCCTTGATGTGACCAAAATTTGGAAGTGGGAGATGGTTGCTAACACCTTTCTACCCATGCAGGATGCTTGAATGTTGTATGCTGTGCCTTGATCTGTCTTACAGAACACAATCCAATTCTTAATAAATATTTAAGGAGTTTCCTTGATACTCTGTGCCACATCATAAGATTCCCCAAAGACTGCTTGAATAGTATTTTCTCCCTGCAATATTCTTACTCTTAGGAATTGTTGTCTTTCAGCTATTTAAACAGATCACCTCTAAATTCTTGAATACACAGCAGAGAAAGGAAAGTGTGGCAAAAGATAGGTAGGTAGGTAGGTAGGGAGAGAGAGAGAGAGAGAGAGAGAGAGAGAAAGCCATGAAGTAACAAGCTTGTGCCAAACCCAGGATCATTGGGTGTCCTGGCATCATCTTCAAGATAGAGTTAGTCATTTGGAAACCTCCTTGTAGGACCACCCCTGCTACTCACAATTTCTCTCAGCCAGAAATAGGAGGGTCTAGTGGAGGGCTCCAGGACTCCAGGATGGACAGAGCCACTGGAGGGGAGGACCCTGGATCACCTGGGGAGGGGCTATATGGATGAGAAATAAACCTTTACCATGTTAGGTCACTGGGTTTGGGAATTGATTGTTCCAGCAATTAATGCTCCCTGACTGGCTAATTTTAAATGTGTCAAAGAAGTTAGGCAGGTAGAGGAGAGGAAAAGAAAATCTCGGGAAGCCATTGTGGTCACAGGGTGTTGAATAGGAAAACATAATGTAGGAACTGTGAGAGGATCATTATCAAAAGAGTACAGAGAAAGTATGGGAATGGAAGTACATAAGCCCAACAGACAAACTAATTTACTATTCATAATGTTTATCAGGCTTTTCCTCTTTTCAGTACATCTTAAAACACAAATGTCTTATTGAGATATAATTCAGGTAACATACAGTTTACCCATTTTACACATAAAATTCAATGGGTTTTAGCATGTTCACAGTTGCAAAACTATCATCATTCTCACTTTTAAAACATTTATAGAATCCTAAAAAGAAATCTCATACCTTGTTAGTAGTTATTCCCTACTTCCCCCCAAACCTCCCAGCAGCCACTAATTTAATGTCTCTGTGAATTTCATATTTTGGAAATTTTATATAAATTTAACCATGCCATGAGATCTTTTTTTTTGACAGTTTTCTTTCACTTAGCATAATGTTAGTTTCAACTATCATATGTATGTATCAGTACGTCATTACTTTTTATTGCCAGGATATATTGCAATGTGTGCGTACAAGGACTGCTGGATTGTTTCTTCAAAGTGATTGCATTTATGTTCCCACCAGCAGTGTACGAGGATTCAGTTTCTCTACATCACTAGCAATGCTTACGAACTGTACTTTTTTTTATTCTTGGTCTTCTGCTGTATGCAGGGGTATCTCACAGAAGCTTTGATTTGTGTATCCTTGATGGCCGGGGCCATAGAATCTGTAGAAATATTAGAATCTGGACAGCATTGCCTAGTAATCTTCTAAGCCCTATATGTGTGAAAACTCATTTAATACTTCAACAGTCCCACAAAATAGGTCCTATTATCTCTCTCCTTGTTGGGAAAAGTGAGACACAAAGTTACCCACTATTATAAATATAGTAAGTAGCATTGACAGATTTGATGCCAAATGGCCAAAGTATCTTATTAGGAGTGTGATTTTAAATATCAGATGACTCAGACTTGGTTTCTAGGTTGCTGCCGTAAAATTGGCACCTGACCTCATCCTAAATCTGACAAATTATATTTAACTGTGGTTGATTTTACATCTTCCCTCTAAGCCGGAGAGTCTGGCTAGTTTCTTTTCTTTTTAAAATATTTATTTATTTATTTGAAAGTCAGAGTTATGCAGAGAGAGAAGCAGAGGCAGAGAGAGAGAAAAGTCTTCCATCTGCTGGTTCACTCCCCAACTGGCCGCAGTGGCCGGAGCTGCACTGATCCAAAGCCAGGAGCCTCCTCCGGGTCTTCCCACATGGGTGCAGGGGCCCAATGACTTGGGTCATCTTGTACTGCTTTCCCAGGCCATAGCAGAGAGCTAGATCAAAAATGGAGCAGCCAGGACTCGAACCGGTGCCCATATGGGATGCCAGCACTACAGGCGGCGGCTTAACCTGCTACCCCACAGCGCTGGCCCTGCTAGTTTATTTCCACAAGATTGAAAATCTTGAAGTGGGAAAATAATAATAAAGGTGCCCAGCATATCTGCATCACCATTATTCCACAAGATTTGATGCTTAGTGATGATAATGGTTGGCACAGGAACTTCCTGAATATATGAATCTTTGATTGAAAGAGAATTCACTAGTTAAATTCAGATGTGGTGGGGCTAACTCCAAATATTCCCAAAGATTATTTATTTATTTATTTATTGGAGAATAAAATTTAAATTGGGAAGTCCCCCTCCTCCCCATAGTTCAAAATAGGCTTTACTAAGGTATTATTGTCATACAATAAGCTGCATGTATTTAAACTGTACATTTGAGACATTTTGAATATGTATATACCTGTGAAATCATTGCTACAAACAAGATAATAAACATACCCTTCACCTCCAAAAGTTTCTTCATGCCACTTTTTAAAAATAAATCTAGTTATTTATTTGAGAAGCTGAGAGAGAGAGAGAGAGAGGGAGAGGAAGAGAGAGAGAGGGAAACTCCCATCCTCTGGTTCACTCTCCACATGCCCTCAATGGCCAGGTCTGGGCCAGGTTGAAACCAAAACCCAGGAACTTAACCCAGGCCTCCCATATGGGTGGCGAGAACCCTACCACCTCCCTGGGTATACATCAACAAGAAGCTAGAGTCAGGAGATGAGCCGGAAATTGAACCCAGGCACTGTGATAGGGAAGGCAGGCCGCTTAACTGCTGGGTGAGGGCCTGTCACTCTCTTGCTGCTCTTTAATCCCTTCTTATTTCTCTCTTGGATCCACTCCTCCTAATACCACCTCCACTCCCTAGCAACCATCAATTTTCTTTCTGCAACTATGAATTAGGGTTTTAATAAAGATTCGTATTTGATTTATTAAATGTTATGTTAAGTTGTATACCCCTATACATTTTTCAGGTCTAAGTGTTTTCTTTAAATGTTTTATTAATAGATTTTACTGTTTAAGAGTGTCTTAGATTTACAGAAAAAATTAGATAATACAGAGAGTCCTCACACATTCTTTGTACATCGTTGCTTCTATTTTTAGTTTCTTATATTGACAGTCTATTTATTATAATTAATGAACTAATATATGTATATACACATATTCATACACACATACATATATTCATTGTTGTTAACTAATATCAATGGTTTGTTCAGACTTCCTGGTTTTAACCTCATGTCCTGTTTCCTTCACAAGATCCCATCCAGGACCTACATTTCATTGTTGTCATATCTCCTCAAGCTTCTATGGGACATAACAGTTTTTCAGACTTCTCATCTATTTCATGACCTTGACAGTCCTAAAAAGTATTATAAGATGTTCCTCTACTGGAACTTGGTAGTTTCCTGATTGAGGTCATGAATTGGGGGGTGAGATGGGAGAAAATCAAAGAGGTAAAGTGCCATACTTATGTCATATCAAGAGTACCTGCTGTTAACATGACTTACAACTTAGGTTACCTAATTGACCTTGATCACGTGGCTGAAGTAGTGTTTGCCAGGTCTCTCTACAGAACAATTACTGTTTTTCTTTCCTAACCTTACTTTTAGAAAGGAAGTCACTATGAGTCACTTAAAGAGGTATAAGGGAGTAGAGAATTATGCTCCTCCTCCTTTAGAGTGGCATATCTGTAGAATTTATTTAGAATTTTATATGGAAGATGTACTTCTTGTCTTACATTTAGTATTTTTTTTTTTTTATTTTGACAGGCAGAGTGGACAGTGAGAGAGAGAGACAGAGAGAAAGGTCTTCCTTTTGCCGTTGGTTCACCCTCCAATGGCCGCCGCGGCTCGCGCGCTGCGGCCGGCGCACCGCACTGATCCGATGGCAGGAGCCAGGAGCCAGGTGCTTTTCCTGGTCTCCCATGGGGTGCAGGGCCCAAGCACCTGGGCCATCCTCCACTGCACTCCCTGGCCACAGCAGAGGGCTGGCCTGGAAGAGGGGCAACCGGGACAGAATCCAGCGCCCCGACCGGGACTAGAACCCGGTGTGCCGGCGCCGCTAGGCGGAGGATTAGCCTAGTGAGCCACGGCGCTGGCCTTACATTTAGTATTTTATTAAGTCTTTTATTTATGCCAGATGTACTCATGGATGTTTTGTTGCTCAAGTTCTACTTTTTGGCATTGAGAGCTCTTTCAGTTGGTTCCTGTGCCCCTTTGCATATTCCTTTGCTGTGTGTATGTGTGTGTGTGTGTGTGTGTGTGTACTTTCTTATTCTCTGGAACTTTAAGATGCTGCAGACTCATATTGTATATCTCCTGTGCCAGCCCTAGAATCAGTTCAGTTCTTCAAAGAAGATTGATTCCTTTTATTGGATAATGGTATTAGAAATGAAAGTCTGCATGCTAAATATAGTCCATATTAGCTTTTATT